TGAATCCATCAAGGATTCAAGATGTAAGAGCCATATAAATACATAAACATTAAATATATTTCAGTGAACAATGTGAAAATGAAACTACAGAAACAATTCCATTTTCAAAAGCATAAAGAAGAATAAATTGCTGAGGAATAAATTTACCAGAAGAAATGCAAAACTACAAGGTATGTTGAAAAAAATTAAAGACATGGATAAATGGAAAGGCAACCCATAGTCATTGATTAGAAGGTTTGATGTTGTTCAGATGGCAGTACTCCCCAAAGTTATCTACAGATTTAATGTAGTGCATAACAAAATCCCAACTGCTTTTAATTTTTTTTAGAAATGAGAAGGCTGGCTTAAAATTCAAAAGGAATTACATGGAACACATGAAGCCAAAACAAACATGAAGAAGAAGAAAGTTGGATAGCTCACATTTATTGATTTCAAAACTTGCTGCAAAGCAACAAAAACAGTGTGGTCTGGAATAAGGACAGGTAGATACACTAATGGAATAGAACTGAAAGTCCTTAAATAAATATCCATTGTTTTTTGCTGAAGTCCCAAGACAATACAAAAATGAAATAATAGTTTTTGTCAACAAATGGTGCTCATACACCTGGATGAATGTACCACCAAAAAAATTAACTTGAAACAAGTCAAAGACCTGTAAAACTCTTAGAAGAAAGTAGGGGAGTAGACCCTCATAATTCTGGGTTAGTTGATACCCTCTTAATTATAATGTCAAAGGCACAAATGAAAAAAGAGAAAGTGGACTCTATGAAAATGAAAAACTTGTGCAGCAAACAGTATCATTAATAGAGTGAGGAGGCAACCCAAAGAATGAAAGAAAATATTTGCAAATCATATGTTTAATAAGGGACTTACATCTAGGTTACATAAAGAACTTTTACAACTAAGATAACAATCCAATTAAAAAGTAGCCATTGACCTGAATAGTTACTTCTCCAAAGAAGATATTAAAATGATCACTAAGCACATAAAAAGGTATTCAATATCATTAGGCATCAGGAAAAGGCAAATAAGCAGCACAAAGAATACTCTTGCCACCATTAGGATGGCAATAATAAAAAGACAGATAATAACAACTTTTGGCAAAGACGTGGAAACATGGAGTCCCTCATAAGTTGCTAGAGGGAATGTAACTTCTTTGGAAAACTGTTTGCCAGATCCTCAAAAAGTGACACAGACTTACCATGTGACCTAGAAATTCTATTCCTAGATGAGAGAATGACAATTTATATCTAAACAAAAACCTTCATGAGAATATTCATAGCACAATTTTTCATCATAGCCAAAAAAGTTAATGAAGGAATAAATAAAGCATGCTATCTCTGTCTATACAAAGGATATTCCATGGCAATAAAAAGAGGTGAAACACCCACACAGGCTACAAAGTGAAAGATGTCATTCACAAAAGACCACGTGTTATATGATTCCATTAATATCAAATGTCTGTATATGCTGAAAGTGGATTCGTGATCGTCACAGGTTGAGCATGGAGCAGACAGAATGGTGGTGCTAAGGGCATCGAGTTTTTGGGAGGGGCGAGAAGAATGTTTTTAAAATCAATTGTGCTGCTGATTGTATATCTCTGTGAATACTCTTTAAACTATCAGGTTGTGTACTTCAAAAGTATTCAACAAATTCTGCCAATAAAATTATAGCAATTAAAGGTAATAGTTAAATGTAACTGGCCTGTGGGGAAGAGAGTTGCCTGATGGAAGAGTGTGGGATCAGCAAGACTGCATAGAAACTTGGTTCTATCTGGAACCTGAGACCTCGGCCTCTGGGCCTGTTTCCTCACCGGTATCATACTGGGTGGTTGCTTTTCAAGTGCTGTAAATTTGTTTAATTTTTTTTCCCCAAATAAAATCTTACATGAAAAGTCAATGTATAAAGCATAGAGAAGGCCAACTTCTCTGGTTCAAAGGTGGGGTGGAGGTTTGGATCCCACCCATTCAGGGTTTTTTACCTGAGTTCATCCCTGCGGCATCGTCAAGCAGCCGCAGAACAAATGTTCCGTCCAATACTGTTGAAAAGGCACGTAAATGGGTTCAAAGTTACCTTCCAAGGTAACATTGTAGTGTCCTCCATCTATCAACAACCGTGTGGTTTCAGTACTAAAGCAGGTGCTACCTGTGCTGTGAGGAAGAGCGAATGATAGTGAGGGACAATTCAGTAGAGAATGGTTCAAGGGAATTAGGACTAAAATAAAAAAGTGAGGAACCAGGTCAAATTGATTTTTAAATCAGCAGTGAGGGACAAAAACTGAATTTTTGTGGCATTAAAAATGATCATCTGTGGGCACTAGAATTATTCTTAAAGACGTGTATTAGTCTGTTTTCTGTTGATATAACAATATACCTAAAACTTGGGGCTTTTTTTTTTTCCTTAGGTGATATTGGGGTTTGAACTAAGGACCTCACTTTGCAAGGTGGGTGCTCTATGACTTGAGATGCACTCCAGATCTTTTTTGCTTTAGTTATCTTTTTGATAGAGTCTTGTGCTTTTTTCTGGTGTTGGCCTTGGGCTGTGATCCTCGTATCTATTACCACTCTTATAGCTGAGATTACAGATATGAACCAACACACCTGGCTGATTGATGGAGATGGGGTCTTGCTAACTTTTTGCCTAGGTTGGCCTCTGACTATGATCCTTGTGAAATCTTCCTCCTGAATAGCAGGGATTATATTCATGAGTAACTGTGCCTGGCTAAAACTGGTAACTTAATAAAGAAAACTGGTTTATTTAGCTCACAGTTCTACAGATTCAAGAGCATGGTGTTGGTTTTCTTGCCTCTGTTGAGGGATTCATGAAGATAGCATTAAGGCAGGGGCAAATGTGAGAGGGAGAGATAACCTGGACAGACAGGAAGCAAGAGGCCAAGGAGAGACCAGTGTTACTCTTTCATGGCAACTGGTACTTATGAGAACTAATTCACTCCATGCCTGGTCCCTTCTGGGGGTGATGCCCCCAGTGATCTAACCACGTTCCACTATACCCCAACTCTTCAAGATTCCACCAACTCTCACATCTTCACTCAATTCATCCTTCTGTCAGGAAAACCTTTAGGGACACACTTAAATCATCTCCAAATCATAGTGTGAGGGGAACACATCTGCCTAGGAAAATTCTTTTGTAAGTCCCAACAAAGTGGAAGTGGAGAACCCATAGACATGAGTATTTGGAGTGAAGGAATCAAACGGTGTGCATGTCATTCTGCATTAAAGTTGATTAAAAGAGTCACAGCACAACATGGGGTGCTCTTAGGATCATCAGAGGATTCTGAAATATATGTTTTCTTCCAATGTCCTGTGGAACTTGGTGATTATTTTCATTTACCAACTTTGTGTCAATACAAATCCTCCCCTCTCTTTTTCCTAACAAGTTTGTTTAGAACCTTAGAAAAGGAAACTTGACTTGTTTTGCCACAGAGTAAAATAAACCATTGTTCCCTGTGTTCTCTTTGCTCCTCACAGGGTAATTTTGTTGGGGGGAAGATGTAGAGAAAAGAAGTTTTGAGATATGTATATAATTCCACATACATGTAAGTTCATACAAGGGGAGAATGTGAAAGTGTGGGGGGTGCTAGTGTCAAGTTGACCTTATATCTTTATATAACTTTGTATCTTCCCTCCTCCTGAGAAAACAGAGAGTTTTAAAAGTGTTGGCTTGGACTGGGGGGTGTGGCTCACATGGTAGAGCAGGACTTTGCAACTGTCAGGGGTCCAGGAAAAAGAGTAATAATGCCTGACTTGAGGATATGGAAGGATAGCTTCCTATTTAAGAATAGGAAGAAATTTTTATTTCTTTGATGTAAAGTCTTAACCCTTCCCCACTCCTCCCAAATGTTGACTTACATTTGCTGTACACACAAATGCCTGGTGCTTTAAATAGTAGAAGGTTAGGTCACTTTTCCATTCCTTTGTATTAGAAGTGATGGAATTTTATTTCATGGATATGTTGGCTAGAAGTGTCATGACCAAAGGGGCTGATGAGCTCTGTGTGCTCTCATTTTACTAGAGAGTTTAAATACATAACTGTGGTCACAAACTGTGAGGGAGCCTCAGGCCAAGCATTTTTTATGGCATTCCTAGTGAGAGAAGTGGCTTGGTGGAGATGCCCCCCATGGTGGGCAGTCAGGAAGACCCACACAGGGCATGAACTCAGCTCCAAGGCAGCTAACATGTGCCAACAACTGCTCTGCATGCCTGGTGGGATGTTGGTCCCACCTGGTAACCAAAGCCAATTAAAGTAGTCACAGCATAACGTGGGGTGCTCTTAGGATCATCAGAGGATTCTGAAATACATGTTTTCTTCCAGTGTCCTGTGGAACTTGGTGATTGTTTTTATTTACCAGTTTTGTATTAATACAAATCTACCCCTCTTTTTTTCCTAACAAGTTTGTTTAGAACCTTAGAAAAGGAAATTCAATTTGTTTTGTCACGGTGTAAAATAAAACATTTTTCTCTGTGTTCTCTTTGCTCCCCACAGGGTAATTTTTGGGGGAAGATGTAGGGAATGGAAGTTTTGAGATATGTATATAATTCCACATACATGAAAGTTCATACAAGAGGAGAATGTGAAAGTGTGTGTGGGGGGCTGCTAGTGTCAAGTTGACTTTATATTTTCCCTACTTCTGAGAGAATAGGGAATTTTTAAAATGTTGGTTTGGGCTGGGGGGGTGTGGCTTATGTGGTAGAGCACTGGTTTAGTACTGGCCATGGGTTCAATTCCCAGTACCATGAAAAAAAAAATCAATAAAAAGGGCTAGGTGTGGTGGTGCATGTCTATAATTCCAGTTAAACTGGAGGATGGCAGTCCAAGGCTGGGCTGGACGAAAGTGCAAGATCCTATCTGAAAACACACTAAAAACAAAGAGGGCTAGGCATGTAATTTAAGTAGAAGAGCACTTAAGTGCAAGACCCCAAGTTCAAACCCTAGTACTGCCAAAGCCCACCCCCTATTCCCTCAAAAAAAAGTTGGCCTACCTTGCTTTTGGCATGTGATCAAAAGACATATGGGTTCCTCATTGATTTACCTTGCATGAGTTAAACAAAAAGGAGGACTCATTCATCAAAGTCACGGTTCTAGTCTTCTCTACCATCTTTACCAAGGTCTATTTAAGGCCACCAAGGAGAGTATATGCTGATTATGTGTTCTCACAGGCCCTACTCAGCCTGACTTCAGGTTCCTAAAAAATTTCTTCCAAGGCACCAGGCCCTCCTTATTGTCACCCAACTCCTCTACTTGACCAGTCATCCATAACACTCAACCAAGACATTTTAGTGCACAAACCACTCATCAATGAATACTCTGCAGTTGTCTAGTTGTAGTTTGCAGCTTTCTCAAGTGATAATTGCTTATGGATGTCCTCTCCCCAGGAAATACCCAGTAATATCTCTCAGAAACCTTTGATTTCTTCCAAATTATGATGTCCCCATTCAAAAATAATCAATCTGAAATTGACTATTATAACAAACAGCATCTTCTGTAAGTTCCTATAGCTCACGAAGGCATCAGAATCACCTGTAGGACTTGTTAAGAACAGAATCCTGGCTGGTGAAGTGGCTCGGTGGTAACAGCACCTGCCTAGCAAGCATGCAGCCTTGAATTCTGAACCTCAAAATATAAAATAAAAAAAAACAAAAACAGATTCTTGAACTCTATCCTGACTCTAATTGCATCATTATGTCAAAGAGGCGTTTGAGAATTTGCTTTTCTATCAAGTTCTCTAGTAAAGTTGGTGTTACTGGTCTTAGAGCTATAGGGTGTTATAATTATCTTAGCATGAGATACCTTGAGTGTCCTTTCTGAGCTCTGCTCTCTAGCCTAACTGCATAATCATATTAACTTCATAACAGGGAGGACATTTTGACATTTAGAATCCCCTAGTTCTGCATCCCATTGCCAACTCTCCTCCTTTTAACACTCTTCATTTTTATCTTCCCTTCCATTCTGCCCCCAAGTCTGTGTCAGAAGAGCCACATGTTCCAGATGACCACACAGCAGGAGTGGTGTGAGAAAGAAGCACCAAGCTAAACCAATCCATTCATCTGCTACAGATTCTGTTGTTGTTAGTGTGCTCACTCTCTCTTTCAGGACTCAATCAATCAAGAAGACAGTCACCCGAATATTCAGGAAATATTTGCCTTGATGCTTTTTTAATGTGCAACAATTGTCAAAATACCTGTGGAGAGGGACGTGAAAATGGAGAGAGGACAAGAAGAGAATGACAGGGGCTCTACCTTTAGATGTTTAATGTCTGCACTGACTTTCCATCTTGAGGCCTGTGCCATGCTTTGTGGCAGGGTCCTTACAGAGACTCCCACAAAAAAGAATTTCTGAATCTCCTCTTTTTTGTACCCAGACTTCAACTTGAAGCTGGAAATCAATAAATTCAAGGACATTTATTACCTTTATCCTCTTAGCATGAAACTTGGGAGATGATAGGGTTTAACTAGCAGTTAGATTTGTTAGGTGAAAGGAATATTTCTAACTGAAGAATGAGGCTTTCACAGTCCTTGTTTTCTTTTCAATTCTTTTTCAGTTCTTAGGAAGAACTGAAACTGAGGTGAAGAAGTACATGCTCTGATATTCTGCTCTGGAATGTCTGTGGTAAAGTCCTTCAGGCCTTGACATCTGACAGGCCTACATGTTAATCACGATTTCCAGCATGCATAGCCTTTTTGCCACTATGTGTAGGATGTGGTTACCACTTGGAAATTACAGCAAGTTAATCTGCAGGCCTTATTAAATCATCCTTAGAAACATGAACACAGTTGGTGTGCTTGAGCATTTGCAAAATTAAATTATTCTTTAGAATTAGCCTACTGAGCCAGAAAAAAATAAAGAACACTTACCAAAGGGGAAAAAGTGACAAAAATTGCAATCACTAATGGTTTTTAATTATAATTGCATAATAGTCTCTTAATACAAGTGCTACTCATTGTTTTTATAATTCCTGCCACTGATCCATTAAGCTCCTCCATACTTATGCAGGCACCTACCCTGGAAAACAGAAGAATTTAGAATATTATCTCATTGCACTCAAGTGCCTTGAATTAGATCAATTCAATGACACTCAACCATTCTACTATTAGCAATGGCTGGGAATAGGAGAAATAATAAGCAGCTTCCAACTTAAATGCTAGATAATGGTTTTATCCTGGGATAAAAAGAGAAGTGAGATATGACAAAGATTAACACTTAGCTTATTATTATGTCTTATTTTTAAATTTCCTGTCCATTGCAAATGGTGCTGCTATCAATATTCATCTAGTGGTTTTTATGTGAACATAAGTTTTCTTGTATCAAGGACAAGTTTTAGAAGTTAGATTATTGGGTGACATAACAATTATATGTTGGGAGGTTCTGCCCTTAAGGGGTCCACATGAAATAATTCTCTGATGGGGGATATAAGAATCTGGATATGCATTAATTCTCAAAGAATTATCCCCCAAAGCAAATATTACTGTCACTAGACTGAAGAGACAGCCCAAAGAATGGGAGGAAATCTTTGCTAGCTATATATCTGATAAGGGATTACTAATCAGAATTTGCAGGGATCTCAAAAACTTAAACTCCCAAAGAATCAACAACCCAATAATGAAGGGGCAAATGAACTGAACAGACAATTCTCATGAAGAAGTACAAATGGTCTAGTAAAAACATGAAGAAATGCTCAACATCTCTGGCCATTAAGGAAATACAACTTCACTCCAGTCAGAATGGTTATCCTCAAGAACACAAACAGCAACAAATGCTGGTGAGGATGTGGTGAAAAAGGAAACCTTATACAATGCAACCACGGTGAAAAACAATATGAAGATTCATCAAAAACTAAAAATAGAACTACCAAACGATCCAGCAATACACTCCTGGACATATACTGAAGAAATACAAGTTAGGATATAATAAAGACACTTGCACACCTATGCTTATTGCAGCACTATTCACAATAACCAAACTATAGAAATAGCCTAGATGTCCTACAAATAATGAATGAGATAAGAAAATGTGGTATACATAGACAATTATCATTATTATTCAAACAAAAGGAAAAATGAAATTATACTATTTCAGGTAAATGGATGGAAGTAGAGATCATCGTGTTAAGTGAAGTACCAGGTTCAGAAGAATATAGGTCACATGTTTTCTCTCATATGTCAAAGCTAGACCTAAAAGCTAACCATATACACAAATACAATGCATGACTATATATATGCATATGTACTTACACATATATATGTATATACATATGGGGGTGGAAGAGGAAAAAAGAATGGTAAAGACTGAATAATTTCGAAATACATTATAGCTGCATATGAAGGTGGAATAATGAAACACACTAAATACTGTTGAATAATAAGGAAAGGAGGAACAGAGAAAGAGAGAGTAGTGGAGTTAATCTGATTATATTTATATGTGAAATACCATGGTTAACTCCCTTCAAGCAATCAATATACACTTAAATAAATGAAGGACAGGGATGTAAAACAGGTTGTTTCAAGGTAGGTATCAGTGGGAACAGAGCATGAACGGAGAGGGGAGAGTGAATATGGTTAGTGTACTTGTAATTGTATGAAAATAGAACAATGAAACCTGTTGAAATTATTTTAAGATGGGAGGATCAGGGATAAGGGAGAATTATGGGGGGGGTGAATCTAATAAAGGTACATTATAAACATATATGTTTATGTCACAATGAAGTACCCTGTGGCAATTATGAAATCCTCCAGATAATCTATAGCAGATTAATAAACTGCATTTATTCAATCGAATATTAACCAGAACATAAAGATACATATGGTACTTTGGAAAGCTCAAATTTGTAAAATAAATGTACTAAACAAATGACAGTGCCTTAAATGACCCAAACATTGTATGCACATATGAATAAAAGAAAAGAAAAAAAAATGACAGTGCCTTGAAGTGATCTATAATTTCTAATGGGTAAAGTTATATGTCAAGCTACATGTCAGGAGACCTGGAAATTCTTTAATTCAAAATGCAGTCAGCCCTCCATGTTGCTCTGAGTCCCTATTCAAAATTTCTTAACAAAATGGAAATGTATCCATGGAAAGTAATTTTGTTGTGCGAGCTGGGATAAGAAATTCCTCTTACTTGAACCTAGTGATTTATTCCTCCTACTTCCCACCAAGGATAAGGCAAATCATTTATCACATTAAGAATTTCTGAGAGTTGAGAAAAGGCTCTGCTTCTGCACATGAAGCCCATAATTTTTTTCAACCCTCCAATGGAGAATTATTAATTATAATTATAAATATAATTATAAATTATAAATTATAATTATTAATTATAAAAATGCATAGGACATGTACAATAGGATAATAAAGTTTTGAAAGCTTTTAACTAAATCATGATTTTTTACTGTACTGTTAAGCTTGTGACTAGCAAATAATGAAAGAATTTTTAGGCTCAATGTTTAAATAAGAGGCGTGGATCACTAACCTTTCCTCTCTTTATTTGTAAGTGTCTAAGGTTGTTGATTGGCAGAATTTGTATCAATAAATATTACTTGTGCTGTTGGCAAATTTCCAAAATCTCATTGTGTAAGGAAAATTGGTTTTAGAAAAAGTCAGAGATTATTTCCATGAAAGGGAATGATGCCAATGATAGTACTTCTTCTTTTAATAGACAGTAAGTCAGAATGTACATTTGGGGAAACAACTATAATTATAAAACTGGAGCTATCCTTTTTCCCCTTATTGCTCTCAAAATGAGCCACGATTTAGGTGACAGTCCCTGCTTACCTTAGACTAATGTTGGGATGATTTATGAGGTGTGAGTGATCTTAAGAATTCTTCATTATTCACTCATTCATTTGGTCACCTAACAGATATGTATTAGATAGAACTATACACCATGAACTGTGCTCAGCGATTCAGATTCAAGTGTGAGTTAGAGAGATTTGGACTCTGATTTACAAGACAGGAGATTAAATAATCACACCAATATTTCATTAAAAACTGTGCTAACCATTATGAGGGGAAAACAAAAGGGACCAAAAAAAAAAAA